AGCAGGGGGTCTGCTTCTCCCTCTGCCCTCTTCCCTCTCGTGCTCTCTGTCTCTCATTCTCTCTCTCTCAAATAAATAAATAAAATCTTTAAAAAGAAAAAAAAAGACTATTCTGGTTTCAAATATTATTGAAATTTCCTCGACATGTGACTCTGGACACACCTTAAGCGTGTTTATGTGTAAAATGGGGGTAAACATGCTTATTTCTCTAGGTTGGTAAGATTACATGAGGTAGGGGCGCCTGGGTGGCTCAGTCGGTTATGCATCTGCCTTCGGCTCAGGTCATGATCCCGGGGTCCTGGGATCGAGTCCCGAGTCGGGCCCCTGCTCAGCGGGGAGTCTGCTTCTCCCTCTGCCTCTGCCCTGCTCGTGCTCTCTGTCTTTTTCTCAAATAAATAAATAAAATCTTAAAAAAAAAAAATTACATGAGGTGATGTGAATCATGGATTTGGACTAGGGTGATCAGCACCATTTTTTTTTTTTTTTTGCACAGGTTCGGACAGTCAATATTTTCGGCTCTGTGGGGGGGCCATTTGGTCTCTGTCACAACCATTCAATTCTGCCATTGCCAAGCAAAAGTAGCCCCAGACAATACGTAAATGAATGAGCGTGGCTGTGTGCCAATAAAACTTTATTGCTGGACACTGAAACTCGAGTTTCATATTACTTTCCATGTGTCACAGAATATTCTTTTGATTTATTTCTAAACACTTAAAAATGTAAAAGCTTGATCTGATCTCATGGGTTTAACACATGGCAGGCCACATCTGGCCCAGGGGCTGTCATGTGCTGGTTCCTGGCTTAGAAATCACAGCTCTTCACAGATTACTCTTTCCAAATATTCTGGAAAGATGCACCCTAAATTGTTAATAGGTATCTCTGGATGATGGGATCAGAGACCGGGGACAGAATTCACCTTGTTGGGCATGGTGTACTACCCAGTGGGGCCTTTAAAAATTCTGCTTCTGTGGTCAATTGGTACATGAAAAATGATAAGGTTATTCACAGCAATGTTTCTGGGGAAATAGTGTCAATTGTCTATCAACTCTAAATTGGTTCTTTTATGATACATCCTTATAGCAGTTCACATGCTATGTGATACAACCAAACCTTTAAGATGCCAAGTTCAGTGAAAATAAGGAGGAAGGAACAGACACAGGACGCATCATGGGTGTAAAAGGAAGACCAGGCTTCAATTTCCAGATTATGGGTTTGCAGAAATCTTGATTCTTGTGGGATAGATAAGAAGAAAGTGGTGACACTGCTTGTCTCCAGAGAGATTTGGGTAAGTGGGGACAAAAATGTTTGGACAAGAACTCTGAATTCTGTGCCATGTGGATCTCTCTCAAATTCAAAATGATAACATACATGTTTGCTTAAGAATCAAAAACACAGGGCAACCTGGGATGCCAGCCTGGGGGAGACGGAATCAACCAGCTTGTGAGTTTCTGGCGGGAGGATGGGGCTCCGAGGGCGACTGTCACCCTCCAATCCTGCCCAGTCCCCTGGGCCGAGTCCCCAGCGGCCCATTCTCACCTCATGGCTCTCAGCGCGAGGCGGTAGGCCAGGTCGGGGTCGTGGGGCAGCAGCGCGGTGAACAGGTATCGGGCACAGGTGTGCATGGGCACGCTCTCCCGGAAGAGTCCTTCTCCGAATCCGCTGAAAGGACCCCCTACAGGGGCATCCTGAGCTCAGCTCCCCCCGCGAGGGCTCATCACCCCCCCCCAGGTCTCCTCACACCCCAGGCTCTGAGGAGGGGATGGGCTGGTCCCCAGGTAGAGCGGCTGGGGCTAGGGGCTAGAGAGGTGGGCGGGGGAGGTAGTGCAGGGCTGAGACAGAAAAGCCCTGGAAAATCCGAAGAGACCCTGGGTACGCCTTGCCGCGGCGGGCAGGATACAGATGCAAGGCGGGGCCGGAAGGTAGAGGTGGGGCTACACCTGCTCCAGGGGTGGGGCCTCACAAGGACCAGGCTCCCTGACGCCAAAGGGGGCAAGGGGCGGGGCCTTCCCCCCCCCCCCCAGCCCTATTGGCAGCAGGCACTTTCTAGGGCTGATCTCACCTTTAAGGTAGCAGCGAACTGTAAGGGCGAGGAGACGCGGCCTCCTGATCCAGCAGCCACCAGGCCACTAGAGGACAGGGGCAGGACCCCCCCAACCCCCTCCCCCGGCTGGGGGCGGGGCCTCACCTTCCAGCAGCAGCCCCGCCTGCTTGCGCAGCACCTGCACCAGCCGCTCGTCCAGCTCCACCTCCTCCAGCAGGGCGAGCAGCTGCTCCTCGCTGCGCACCACCTTGTCCTGCGCGTACAGTCCCTCGGGCAGGGCCCGCTGCTGCCCCAGGCCCAGCAGTGCCACCTCAAGGGCCAGCGCCAAGTAGGACTCCCCGGGGCTCCCGGGCACCGGCACGTGCTGGTAGGCCGCCTTCCGCTTCTCGGGCCCCGAGTCTGTGGGAAATGGGTTCCAGGGCTGCTGGGGGGGGGAGGGGCACCCCCTCTGGGGACCCCGGGGCCTCTTCAACTCAAACACGGGGTCTGGGGGGTTGGGCTTATGGGGAACCCAGCAGCTCCCAGCACTGACCAGACACCTTCTACCAGCAGAGAGGTGGGTCTGCGGTGGCCTCGCTTTCAGGAGAAGTGAAATCTGTTGGCTCCTGGCACTGGCCAGGGGGTGGGGCCAAGTGTAGAGACGTCACCAAGGATAAGAGTGTGGCCCCACTTTCTTGGGGTACTGGGCTGGGGAGGGGGAAGGGGAAATATCCCATTTCCTCCCAGGGGCCCCAATGTAGGTACCTGGGTAAAGGGTGAGGGTCTCTTCCTCCAGGCGGCAGGCTTCCAGGAGCGCCCTGCAGAGGCAGCCAATGGGGTCCAGGGGGTGGCCCACCCATCCTTCCGTGTTGGTGATGCAGGTGTTACCTTTCTGCAGCAGCTCTGCAGGCAGTATAAGGGGCTCAACGCCTGTCCCCCACAAGTCTAGGTAGGGGGGCGTCTCTCCTTGAACCCCAGCCCAGCCTCCCGGTGCCCGCCCACCACCTGCCCACCAGGCAGTCATCCTCTCCGCCCAGGAGCTCTGTAGCAGCCCTCACCTCCACAGCCTTGGCCTCCTGTCCCACAGCCAGACCCTGGCCTGGCAGGGACACAGGGGTGAAACTGGGCACTTCGGAAAACATCCACCCACTGTCTTTCTCCTCCCTCCCACCTCTCGAGCCCAACTGGCTTTCAGGGCCCCATGTGGCCACCTGCCCCATCTGAAAGCCCCATTCTCCAATCTCCTCCCATGAGCCGTGCCCTCTCCTGCCTCTGGGCTCCTGCCCCTGCTGTTCCTTCTACCTGGAACACTGTTCCTCCTTCCTCTCCTTCTGGGAAACTCCTGTACATCCGTAAGATCTCAGCATAGCTCTCACCTGTTCTGGGGGGCTTTCCTTGTGCCTCTAGGCCGGGGCAGGACTCTGCTGGGGTCCCAGGTCTCCATGACACCCGGGGTTCAATTTCCTGATAACTGACCCATCACCCAGACAATGAAACTGGTGGCCTCCCTCCTGCCTCCCCATAGCTTATCCACAAACATGTTCTTTTTTTGACCCATACGGTGTGGCTTTTTTTTTTCCTCTAACACAAATTTGAATTTGTTTCCCATGTTTAAAAATCAGTAAATTGTACATTGCATAATGCAGATTTCTGGCCTGTCTTGGAAAATTGGAAGATCTGGCCATACTGCGTCCCTGTTCCTGAAAGACTTGTGACTGGCACCCGCCCCATACTACAGGGGCTGGAAGCTTGGAAACTACAAGTCCCAGGCTCCTTTGTGTGAAGTACGGAGGCTGGGACAGGAGGCCCTGATTCTCCTGCAGCCTCCGTGAGCAGGTGTGTGGCTGTCTGCAGGGCACAGACAGGAGGTTTTGCCAGCAGGTTCCGAGTATTCTCTTGGGAGAGGCCCCCCAGCCAGGGCTGCAGGCTGCTGAGCTCACTGTCAGCAGTTTGCTGCAATCCCTGTGCTTCTGAAGTTCAAGTTCTTGAACCTGAGCAGTGGCTTCTCTGATTTTCAATCCTACAGCCCTTCCGGTACTTTTGTGAGCCCTCAACCCCCCGTATTAAATTCTTTTTGGCTCAAGACTCCTTCGGGTGGCCTGGCTTTCCTGATGGGACCCCGAATCGGCATCTGTGCCTACGGCCCAGGGGAGCAGGGTGGTCGTGGCACCCACCTTTTTTCTGCTGCTTGTAGCTCTCGAGCTGATGCCGCCGCTGTAGCCGGAGCGTGTTGATGATGGCCCCTGCCAGCCGCAGGGCCTGGCGGGGGTATCCGTGGGCACGCAGGGTGTCCACGCGGGCGCAGGCGGTGGGGAAGGGCTCGCCCAGCCACAGTGGGCGGCCCTGGGGGTCAAAGGTTGGCTTTTCACTGCCCATGGTGCCTGTGAGGCTGGGGCCGTAGGAGTCGCTGGCCAGGATCCTCTGCAGGTGGGTGTCACTCCAGTGCAGCGCCCCGGCCTGGAGGGCACGGCAGAAGACGGTGTGGCGGGAACCTGTGGCCGCCGCCTCCTCTTCCTCCTCCTCCTCCTCCGGGCCTGCGGGAGGGGCGCCCACATGGCCTGGTTAGGGGGCCCTAGCGCTCGGGCTGAGGCCAGCTCCCCTGACTGAGCGCCAGCTTGGGACTAGGCCTTGGGCACAGCGATGGTGGTGTGTCATCTGCCCAGATCCTTTAAATAGCCTTTCCAAAGATGCGTGAGCGCGTGCTGTGTGTGCATGTGTGTGTGCATGCGCGCGCGCGCTGCGTGTGCATGTGTGTGCGCGCACTGGGGGAGCTATTACAGCCCTTCGTGTCAAAGGACAACGGAGGGTGAATAACTGTCCATATGTCTGTCCATCCTGCCCCCTCCTCAGACTTCATCCCTCTCTTTCTCCCTCCGTCTCTCCCCATACCCCATTCCTCTTTCTCCTCTCTCTCCCTCCATCTCTGCCTCTCTCTTCTAAATATCTTTTTCCTTTTCTCCCAGTGCCCCCCACCCCATCCCCGCCTCCACGGCCAGGAGGAGGCTGAGTGGGGAGACCAGCCCAGAACTACCGGCGTCCTAAGCCTTTCCCTTCATGCACCTCGAGCTGCCCGCCCCCCTGGCCTGGCATTCACTCCCTCCTGGCGGGGAGGACAGGCAAGGGCCGGGGGCCCCTCTCCTACCTGGGCTGAGGGCCACGGTGGGCTGCAGGCTGGGCCCGTCGAAAGAGTAGTTGCCCTCTTCCAGCGGGCACACGTCCAGCTTGTCCCACTTGCCAAGCAGCTGGAGCCAGCTCACCCGCTCCTCTGGTTTGCAGTGGGGGCTCAGGACGACACACACCCACAGGGCCCCTGGGGACGGAGGGCGGCCAGTGAATGTGGGCATGAGGGAGGCTCGACATTCACGCCAACAGTAGCCGCACACACGTGTGGAGTGCCTACTGTGTGCTGGGCACTGGCCTCTGTTTACCCCTCATCTCGGGCCTCGGAGGTTGCAACCGATAGTCTCTTCACATTACAGCACAGAGAGGCAAAAGCAGTTGCTCAAGGTCACACAGCTGGGGAAGTGGGAAGGCAGGATTCGACCCCAGGCTGTCAGACTCCTCTTGCTGTTTTTTTCCCCTATAGCACTTACCACCCTGTATTACAGGGGTCAGCAGACTACTGCCCGTGCATAAAACTGAACCCGCCACCTGGTTTTGAATGGCCTGCAAGCTAAGATTTACTTTTCCATTTTAAATGGTTGGGGAAAAATACATCAGAGGAATATTTTGTGACTTGTGAAAATTACATGAACTTCCCATAAATAGTGTCTCTAAATACGATTGTGTTGGAATGCCGCCAGAGAAGCTGTGACAGAGACCACGGCCCACAGAGTCAAAGGGACTGACTACCGGCCCTTGCAGAAAAGGACTAATGCGTCTGTAGTATTTTTCGTCCGTCTCCGCCGCCAGGTGTCAGCTCCGCAGCTCCGGAGCGCAGGGGGTCAATCCCTTGTTTCCTGCCCAGCCCCCCACCCACCCCCAGTGCCTCGGGCATCAGAGGTGCTAGCGAACACGGAAGGGATTCGGGGGCCAGAGGCTAATGTCGGGGTGAGCACGACCTGGCAGCCAGAGCCCGCCGGGCGCTGACGCCCCGCTGCGCGCCACGCGCCTCGGGCCAGGCCTTACCCAGCTCGTCCCACAGCTGCCGGCACTTGTCGGTCATGCCCGCGCCCTGCTGCCGCCACAGGGCCAGGCGCGGGTCCTGCAGGAACTGCTCGGTCATGAGGATCAGCATGCGCGCCCCGTTGGAGTCCCGCATCCGCAGCATCTCCCGCACCTGTGCCGGGATGGGGGCAGGGACGGCGTGGTGAGGAGGGGGCGGGGCGCCAGGGCCTTGAGTCCCGGGCCGCCGCGTGCCCGCCGTGCCCGCGCAGCACCTTGCTGAACATGGAGCGCAGCTGCCGGCTGGCGCCGTAGTAGCCGCCGTTGGACAGCAGCTGCTTCACCTGCTCCTGGATCTGCTCCTCGTCCAGGTGCCAGCAGTTGGCGTCCTCGATGCCTGCGCCGGCCGTGGGGTCTGGGGCACCTGCGGGGAGGGAGGGACAGTGAGGCTGGGGTTTCCAATCTCCCTCCGGCCCCCTCTGTCCACCCCCGCCAGGCCACGTTGATCCCGATCAAAGCCCCTCCCACTGGAGCCCGCCAGCTCCCGCCAGCTCCGCGTTCACCTGCCGTCCTACTTGACCATCCATGGGCTCAGCGCATCCGCTTTTCCACACCCGCAGGTCACCCCAACACCCCATCATCCACCCATCGCCATCCTCAGTTATCCACCGCTCATCCATCGCCCCCACCCTCCATCCTCCCCCGTCCTCCATCCTCCCCCATCCTCCCCCAGCCTCTTGTAGCTCCCAACCCTCCCAAGAGCTCCCGGTCTATCCCCCACCCATCCCCCACCCCTGACACCCCCATGGGCCACACATACCCTTCATGCCCTCTACCCACCCACACTCAGGCCGGCTCCTGTGCTCTTGGGGCACCCACACCCTGGGGCTGAAGCTCCCCGTGCCCGAGGCCAGGTCAGATCCAGGATCTGCCACTTAGTAGGTGTGTGACCTCAACTTCAGGCAAGGGCGCTCTCCCCACCCCCACTCAGGGATCAAGGGGACCTGAGGATGCCGCCACCATCAGGTCCCCGGGGGGCCCTTACCGTGCACCAGGTTGATCTCGGAGCCCAGCAGGAGGATCTCGTCAGCCAGGCGCTGGGCGGTGGGCAGCACCTCGGTGTGGTGGGCGCTGATGAGGTACTGCACGAACTTCTGCAGCTGGTCTCTGTTCATCTGGGACAGCGTCTCGGAGATGGGCAGCCGCAGCTCCACCTGGCGGGCATGCCGAATGCGGTACAGCGACAGGGCCACCACGTGGGCGCAGTAGAAGAGGTCACGGTTGTCACAACCACAGCTCACAGACGTGATCTTGCAGCGGTCAAAGCTGATCGAGACGTGGTAAAGGCGCTCGGGCTCTCCAGGGCCCCCCAGCTCCCGGATGTTTCCGCTCAGATGGAACCCTAAGACCAAAGCCAAGCCAGCCACCGCTGTGTCACCCCAGGACGGGGGTGCTCGTCCATGGTGCACGGCAAGACCCAAGTGCAAATCCCATGGAGCAACCTAGCGCGCAAGCCACTTAATCTCTCTGTCCAATGGGAACGGATAGTGACATCTTCCTCATGCGTCTGTAAGAGGATTTAATGAGCTAATATTTGGTAAGTGCTTAGAACCCTGTAGGCATACAGTCAAATGCTTGCTCCTGTTCTAATTCTGAAGAATATCATAGTGATGATGCTGAAGGTGGTTTTCTCAGCCCTTGGGTTACCGTGAATACGGCCTGGGCTCCAGGAGTCCCGTAACTTCCTGGGAAGATGCCCAAGGCCTGTGACACTTGGGGGTGAGGGGCTGATGTGGCAGGCGAGGGGCCAGGCCACTCCATCACCCCTCCCTGGCCCCTGGGGAGCCCAGATGCCAGGCTTATCCAACTGGTTGGGCAGCTCAGGCCCCATCTGGCCCTGACTGCGTCATGCAGAGAGAAGGCAGCTTCCTCATACCGGCTGAAGATAGCCAAGCCTGTGGTGGGCTGGGCCATGTCCAGGCAAGGGGGCCCCCACGCTGACAGGGTTCAGGGAGGGTCATCTTAGCCAAGCCCCTGCCTCCAGCTAGGAGGTGTACTGTTCCTGGGCTTACTCGCTTTCTGGCTCAACCTCTACTTGTCCCCTTCTGAGCCCCACTCCCTGGGGTCTAGAATCCTCTTTCACCTCTAGTTCCAAACCTCTGCCCCCTACCCTCCCTCACCTGGACCCCACTGCCTGAGGTCTAAGACCACCCCTCATAGCTGATCTTAAACTTCTACTCAAGGCTCCCACCTAAGCCTCTTTGCCTTAGATGTGACACCATTCCTAAACATCTGATCCCAACTTCCACCTGAGTCCCTCTGCCTGAGGTCTAAGACTACTTCTTACCTCCGGCTTGAAACCTCGGCCCCACAGCATCACTGGGTCCCTCCGCCTGAGGTTTGAAACCTCCTCTCACTCTGGTTTACAAATTGCTCCTCAGCCCTCCTCCCAGCGTCACCACCTCTACTCCCGCCCACCAGTCAAGCTGTCTGAGGACTCTAGGACCACCCTTGCCTTTAGCTCAGAATCCCGTACCCAACCCCCATAGTGGCCCTCCACCTAGGATCTAGAAATAGCCTCAGTCCTCCACCCTTAGCTGGCTCTTGCCACCTAAATTCTGGGACCTCCCCTCCCCTGCTTTCTGGATCACCATCCTTCTCCCGAGCTCCGTCTAAGCCTGCGGCCTGGGGTCTAGGCAGATCTCTGATCCTAAGCTCACGATATCTTGTAAAACCCTCTCTGGGCATTGAAGCCAGAGGTCTGGAACCTCCCCTCGCCTTGGCCCAGGCCCCCCTCTACTCCCTTCTCCTCCACACCTGCACTGGACCTCCTGGCCTCCCTGGCAGAGATGGGGGCAAGCACTCACCCACTTGCAGCACTCGGTCTACGGCCCCGCTCTGCAGCAGGTGCAGCCCGCGGGTGAAGGGCACCCGGGCATCATGCTCGCCCTCCGGGGGCTGGTAGCCCAGGGACGAATACATACAGATCTCCCGTTCGCTGCGTGGGAATGACCAGAACACAATGCGCTTCTGGACGGGCTCTGGCACCCGGGAGAACCGCTCTTCCACCTGTGGGAAGGGCGGTGGCTTAGAAACCCGGCTTGAATCCTGGCTTTGCCACTTACAAGCAGTATGACTCTGGGCAAGTCACTTTGCCTCTCTGAGCTTGTTTTTTCAAGTGTGAGGTGGGGATGTTAACAGCACCTGTCTCCTGAGTATCGCGCTTGCAATAACACCTGGCCTGTACTCAGTGTTCTAGAACTTTCTGCTACTTCCCTCCTGGATGTCAGGTCTGAAGTCCTGACGTAACATAGTCTCACCTCCCAGGCTTTGAAAGGGCAGGAGAAAGGGAGACAAAAGTGATAAGAATAGTGATCAGGCCTCCATATTCTAAGTCTACACTATGTTAAAAGCCTTGTGTATGTGATTTTCCATAATTTTCATAGTAACATCTCAGTGATACTAGTTATCACCGCATTTTGCAGCGTGGATAGTCTGAGGCTCAGAGATGGGTTGAATTCACTTGCTCAGTCTCAGCTGGCAAGCTCGGACTCCCAAGACAGCCTCCGTTCTCAGCCTCCAAGGGCCTGCAGGAAGGGAGGGATGTCCTCACCACCCCTGTGGGATTTGGGCAGTGAACCAAGCCGGTTGAACCAATGTTCCAATCTGGGCTTGCTACTCACTGGCTGAGTGACCTTGGGCAAGTTTCTCAACCTCTCTGTGCTCCAGTTTCCTCAAAGTGGGAGGGAGAACAACAACTCCAAAGGGCTGCAGAGGATTCCAGGAGCTTCTGAGGGCCAAGAGCTTTCCTAGCACCAGGACTGATCAGGGCGGGTACATGGGAACCATGAGAGATGGTTTCAGGATTATGCTGGGTGTCTCACGCACAATAAAGGGGCAGCGACCTCCCAGAGCTCCCAGGGCTGGGTTTCTGGGGGAAGTGGGAGGACCAGTGCCTGGCTCAGGCCTCAGGGACAGTTCGCAGATGACTAAGGAGGGATTTTCCAGGCCGTGAATCAGAGCCTGCCCCATCCACACTTGGCCCAGACTCATCGGTCCCAGCAGGCTTCCTAACTCTGGAGAGGCCAGGGAGCAAAGAACACCCCCCAAAGCCAGAGAGAGGACAGAGCCTATGGGGACTGCAGCAGGCTTGGTCAGAGCCAGGCCACATCTCCACTCCCCAGGGGCACACTCTGAGGCTGGAAAAGGGGACTCCAGCTGCCCCAGCCCTGAGGCATTGTGGCAGAACCCCCAGAAACTACAGAGGTAGGATTCCAGGGGTACCTGTACTATGACCCAAGCCTTGCCCTTGCTGCCGACCTACGGAAGGACTAGAATGGCTGGGGGACAGAGGGAGGGTGAGCACTGGGAAAATAGGAGGAATGCAGGAGGGTACCCTAACACTGGAGGGGTTGGGCAGCCCCAGGTGGGAAGTGGTCCCGAAAGTACTGAGGGAGGGGAGCAGGACTCCAGGGAAGAATCTGGAGGAGGAGGGGGGTTCCCCAGGGGACAGGTGGATTCTGGAGGCATGGATTGGGGACAGAAAGGAGTATCTTGAGGCTGGAGTCTGTAGAAATGGGGGAGTTCTTTACTGGGGGTGTGGGGCAGAGATCTGGAGTCTCTAGGGGATGAGATGGGGGTGTCCCCCAAGTGGGGGTGGCTTGTAGGAGTTGGAAAGAGGAGTGAGGATTGAATGGGGTGCCTTAATTGGGAGCTGAGGATGAGGTGGGAAAAGAGGGTAGCCAGGGTTGTGCGAGGACCCTGGGGCAGGAGAAGAAGGAAGTGTCCTGAGCTAGGATCTAGGGCGCTGAGGGCATCCCTGTGTCTTGTGGGATGGAGGGCAGGGATGGCAGGAGGAATGGGGGTGGGTCACAGGGCTTGAAGGAGTGAAATGGGAGGATGAGAGGGTGTTTCGGGGCGGACTTAAGGATCCTGGAGAGGATCTCTGGGGATGTCTCGTACGCGGGCAGGTCCGGAGGCTGGGGGTTGGGCAGGGGAGGAAAAGGCAAGTCGGAGAAGGGGTTGGGAGTGCGTCCCTCCCCTCCACCCCTCGTCACCTGCTCGAAGGCCCAGGTCTCGGCTACTCGCTTGGCACTGAGGTCCAGCAGCGCCTCGGGCCGGCCCCGGCCGCGCACGGCCCCGGCCCCGGCATCGCGCTCCTCTGGTCCCGCGGGGCAGCCCCGGCTCCGCTTGGCCACTGGGGGGTCCATCGGCCGGGCCGGGGCCGGGGCGGGGCCTGTTGGGGGGTCAGTCCGATGCCCGCTTTGCGTCACCTGCTCCCGCGCCCCCTACCCGCTTTCCAGTTCGTCTTCCGCGCTCGGCCGCCCCGGGACCCCAGCCGCACCCACCCCCGCCCGGCGCCGGGCCGGCCGGGTGATGCGGCCCCTTTAAGACTCTTCACAACAATGAAGCTGCCTCAGTCGCCGCTTTATCCTCCGCCGTCGTCCCGCCCCCACCGCCCGTCCCCATTGGACCCCCCTCGGCCTCCGAGAATGTCCTCCGCTATTGGCTACACCGCCAGACTCGTCCCAAATTCTCGTCGTTCACTCGCTGGATATGCTGCCTGTCCTTGCGCGTAAGCCCAATCAGAGCGCTTATCGGGCCGTGCTGTCAATCATGGGGCGCCGGCGGCCAATAACAGTGGGAGGACCCCCGCGGCGCAGGCCTTATGCGGAGTTTCGGGGAGGGCCCTGAGTTCATTCACAACATTCCTCTCCCGCCCCCCTCCGGCTGGACAGCGCGCCCCGGGCAGCTGGGGCTGCGCCCACACACGGCTTTGTTTACTGAGGGTCGCTTCCGGGCTCCGCAAGGGGACAATCAACACGGCTCGGCCGGGGAGCGAGACTGAGCGGCGGGATTCCAAGGCAGCAGCTCAGCCCCTCCTCCCTCTGGGCTGTGTGAGGCGAGAAACTCTCTCAGCCTCTCTGTGCGCGGAGTCAAGTTCTGATGTTTGGGGGCGTGGCGGGGATCACAGGCCCCTCGGTAGAGCTCTTGGGGGCTACAGACCTGTTCTGTAGCAACAGGGCCCAACCCATGCCCCAAGCTGAGAACCCTCAATCCATTCTGTGCCCTGAATATTACGTTGAGTCATATGAAATTGCTGATTTTCGACCTACTATGATGGCAATTTCATAAGATTCAACTAATACTTGTCACATCCGATCACCTCCGATTGTTTTTCTGACCCATTTTGTCCAGGCCAGCCTCTCTTGCCCGGAAGCCGCCCGTGGTCTTGATCGCCGGCCCCGCCCCCCCTCCCGCCCCGCGGCCCACGCCGTCCTTCCTCTCCCCCTGTCCTTAGAAAACTCTACATTTCCTCTTAGCCATATTTTTCTCCAGGATCACTACATTTCTTTATCTAGTTCAGCAGTTGCTTAATTGCGGTCTCTTCCCTCTCCACGGAGACCCCCAGTGGCTGTAGTATGTGCAATCGGAGCATTGCCAGAGCGCCCGCACACGAAGAGCACCCGGCATACAGCGGTCACTCAATATGTAACTTAGTGACTGAACCAACTCATACTCTGCTCCCACTCCGCTGAAACGTCTACAAAGCAGGAACAGCCCAAGTTGGTCCTAACGTGGCCTGATTGCTGCCCCCAGTCTCCCCACCGCGTCTGGAAACTCGGGCTTTTTCCTTCCAGGAATTTCCAGCTGCACTTTCTGGCGGGTCCCCAGCTCACCATTCAGGAAACTCCCTCCAACCTGTGCTGTCCAGTAGGGTCACCACTGGCCACAAGTGGCCTTTGTGTCCTTGAAATGGGGCTGGGCGGAATTGGGTTATGCTGTAAATGTAATTTTCAAGGACTTAGCTGGGGAAAAAAAAAAAGGTAAAATATCTCATTAAGAATTTTTGACATTGAAAAAAAATTTTTATATTGATTACATGTCGAAATGATAATATTTTAGGTAAGTTTGGGTGAATAAAACACATTATTCTAATTAATGCCACCTGTTTCCTTTTATGTTTTGTATTTTCTGTGGTATCAGGATGTTTAAAGTTATACACGTGACTTGCATTGTAACTTCTGTTGGACAACGGCGGTCTTGAGACACAGCCTGCCACAGTGACAACAACAGAAAGGACGCGGAAAATGGCAATGGCGTAGTCACTGCTCCCACGCATTATCAACGCTGAAGCCTTCCACCAGTGCTGCAAAGTGGGGATCACAGGCTCCATTTCTCAGATGAGGAAACTGAGGCTTGGAGAGCAAAGTGCTTGCCTGAAGTCACCCAGACTGGGAAGCCCTACACTTATGCCACGTGCCTTTCTTGCAAAGGATTGGACGCAAAGATGGACCGATGGGGAAGGAGTCACTGGGGCGTGGGGAGAGGCAGGGAGGACTTCAGCAAAGCCTGTGTGTCAGCTGCTCCCCTTGCAAACAGGACCCCGGGGGCGCCCTTACCAGCAGTCCTCTTCAGCATCTGGTGCGTGGCTGTATCCCCTAAGCCCGGGTCCCGGTCCCTGTGGATGCTTCAGTGGGTGTCCCGAGATGTTGAGGTCACTCAAGGCTGCTCTAGTCGGTTGACTGCTCTAGGAGGAACCGAGACTGGGCTATCACAGAGTGAGGATGTTTATTGTCTAACAATAGATACTAACACTGTCATCATCCCCATCTCCTGGGTGAAAAACAGGCATAGAAAGGTCAGGTGACATGCTCGAGGCCCCCAGCAGGGAAAGGATAGGGCCAGCATTCAAGCCCTGTGGGTGGGCTGATTCTGTCGCATTGGCTGGGAATCAAATGCACAGTGTTTGGGAAGCACCAACATTCTATTCCATTTTCCCGATTTTACGAATGAGGGGAATGAGGCCTGGAGAAGGTCAGAAAGTTGCCCAAGGCCATACAGTGATCTCCGGAGAATCTATGAGGTCAGAAAGGCCCCTGGGCGTCTCTCTCGGCCAGCTCTCCTCTTAGGAGAGGTTGGGAGCAGGGTTCCAGCCATCCACATGTCCTGCCTTCTCCATGCAGCCAGTGAGCTTGGGCTGCAGGGAGATGGAAGCCGCACTTACCCCGCCAGGCCTCTGTGAACTCACTGTCTAGGCATCCACAGCTCCTGATCCCAAACCCACATGTCCTTGAGACCCATGGGAAATAGGGTGGCCCTGGAGGCTCAGTTGGAGGGGAACAGGGGCCCCCCAGCTCTGTGGCCACCCCACCCCAATTTCCAGGGCCCCTGTCTTCTGCCAGTTGCCCCGCCCCCCGCACAACCCCTGCCCTTGCTGACTCAGGCGGGAAACCAGCCCAGGCAGTTTCGCTTCCTGGTTCTGATGCAGCCCCTCTGGCCTGCCCAACTGGCAAGATTTACTTCTGTCACTTGTTTTTTTTCCCTTTTGGAACACAGGTTCATGGGCTGAGCTGCAGGACCCTGCCAGGAGAATTGGGCATTCAGGTGGAGGGGGATGGTGGAAGCAGGAGAGGAAAGGCTTGGGAAGGAATAATTGTGTCTCAAAAGCCATATTTAGTGGCTGCCCTGGCCCTACAGAGAGGGCCAGTGTGACAGGCAAGACAGGACAGGCTGAGTGGCTAGTCTTGGGCTCCACTCTTTGAACAAAAGCAGCCCTTACAGCCCTCAGGCTCCAGAATTCTCCACACTGAGCGAAGGGTGTTAGGATCCCCATTTAATAGATGGGCAAACAGAGGCTCAGAGAGGGGACAGGACTTGCTGAAGATCACACAGCCAGGAAGTGGCAGAAACTGGCACTGAACTCAAGGTGTAGTTATTTTCCAAAGTCTGGGGCTCTTGGCTTCGGCACCATTGGTGGGCTTTTATGGGCAGGTGGAAGGAACAAGCAGAGGGAAAAGTCATGCGGGCTGTGAGGCTCTTTGGGGAGGCAGAGGGGATGGGGCCAAGGGGGAACAAGTGGGTTGACATTCCAGACCTCATACCTGTTGCGCCTGAATGCCTTTCCTCGCCCCTGGGGTCCTCCTCCAAAGGGCTGGTGTCAGAGGGACAAAGGAGCCAGTTTACAGGAGTCCCTGGCCCGCCTGGGTGCCGCCGGCCCCAGTGGGGTTGGCCTGGGTTCCAGGCACCCTGTCCCAGTCCTTGCTCTTCTGAGATTCCAGAAAAAGGTTAACAAATGATTTCCAGAAGAGGGAGAAATCATGATTCCCGTAGATACATAAAGATGGACACGTGTTAACGTTTTTATTGAACTCACGTGGGAACCAGGCAGATGTTACACGCGGCTTGAAAGAGAATCTGGAGAACAGGCACTTTTACATTATCAGACTATTTGTGCAAATAAATGTGCAGATGGGGGCAAATTGTTTTTTTCCATAGGGGAGGAGGTTGTCATCGAAACCTCTGCTGGCCGGGATGGAATTTGCATGTCTACAGATAAGTGGCTTTATATCGCTATCAGTTGCTTACAATTTACAGAGCTGAGAGTTCAAAGACAATGCTATGAATCAGATAACCCGGAAGGGTGTGTTGTATAGAGATGATGCCCTGAATAATCAAAACTGATTCACTGAAATGCAAAATTTTCCTTGCAAAAAAGGGAAACAATTCATTACTTCCTTCATTCAATGAACACCTGTTCATTAAGCGCCTCCTGCACACTGTCCTAGGTGTTGGAGACATAGCAGTGAACAAAGATGCAAAGAAGACCAGTCTAGAGCGAGTGCCGAGTGACCACTCCTGGGGCTGGAGGTTCGGAAGGGCAGAGGAGGGCTCTTGGAGGTGACATCCGGGAGGGGGAGGGAACCACAGCAGGAGGCAGGACAGAGAGGAGGTGGGGGTTTGGAGGGGGCAGCCTTGGCGGGTGTTCCTGGTTTTTCTGTTTTCCCCACTACAATGCCAGTTCTCAGCTCTCCCGAGCTGAGGTTGGCACCGGGCAGGCGTACAATAAATGCCCAGTGGGCAAAGGGGCTCCATCTCAAAAGGCAGAAGCCACTAGCTGTCTGCTTAGGGGAGACATTGCTATGCTGTGGGCAGATGGCATGGGCGTCGGGGCTGCCCGAGTGGGGCTCAAGGAAGGGCGCGTGCGCGTCACACCCCTGAACGCAGCCCTACCCTCCAGTCCTCCAGCCCCCCTTCCCCCACCCCTGCCCCTGGTGAAACCTGAGCATCGGGCCTGGGGAAACCCCAAGCCAGTCTTTCCATTGAATTTGGGCTCTGGTGCCAAAGTTCTGATTTTTCAAGATATAAATAGGATTTTTTTTGGTGTGAAATTGCTCACATATAAAACCCACCATTTAAAGACATACAGTTCAGGGGTGCCTGGGTGGCTCAGTCGGTTGAGCGTCTGACTTTTGATTTCAGCTCAGGTCATGATCTCAGGGTCATGGGCTCGAGCCCCAAGTGGGGCTCCAAGCTTGGTGGGGGTCTGCTTGGGATTCTCTCTCCCCCTGCCCCAACCCCCTGTGCTAAAATTCATCTTAAAAAAAAAAGCGTACAGTTCAGTGGCATTTCACTGTTTTGCCACTACATCTGTCTAGTTCCAAAACTCTTACTCCAAAAGATGACCCCAGCATCCATTAGCAACTCCCCCTCCCCCGGTCAACCATGGACCCCCATATCAAGGTCTGTTCTCTGTGCATTTGCGCTTTCTGGACATTTCACATCAATGGACTCCTACAGCACATGGCCTTTTGTGGCCGACTTCTTTCACTCAGCATGTTTTCGAGGTGCATCCATGTAGCATGTGGCACTTTGTACCTTTTTACGGTGGAAGCACACTCCTCGTACAGACACACATGCTCCCCACCGTCTGCTGGGGCCACCTGGGTTGCTGCTATCTTTAGGGGACCGTAACTAGTGTGGCTGTGAACGTTCATGTACGAGCTGTTGGTCGAGTCCCTGTTTTCAGTCCTTTCCGGCATGTGCCTCGGAGTGGAATGGCTGGGTCAGGCGGTAATTCTAGGCTAAACTGAACTGAGGAGCCACCGAACTGTTTTCCACAGTGGTTGTCCCCTATCTTGTAGAAAAATTTTAGTAGTTCAGAAATTTTTGACCACCACTGTGTGGGACCCAGAAAAGCCGACTGCGGTGGGTTCGCTGGCTGGGGGCCAGTCACTCACAGGTGTGGCTGCCTGTACCCACGGGTGCCGCCACCTCCCCCCAGGCAGCAGCTCAGCATCACCCCGACTGCAGCCTTGTTCCCGAGCCGTGACCCGCTCCCCACCCCCCAGCAAGGGGAGGGCAGGAAGGCGGTCAGATTCTTGGCTGTTTCACAGGCACGACTGCCAACGAGGAATGACGACTGCCAACAAGGAATGACGGAGGGGCCCAGGAGGGAGCAGGAGAGGGTCTCAGTCTGGAGGAGACAGCGGCTGGTCAGTGGGGAGCGGGGACCCTGCTGGTGGCCGTGCAAATCCCTGCTCGGTAATGCTGGCGACGTGACCTAACCGGGCCATCACAAGGGAAGCGCTAGAACGGTGCCTGGACCACTGGTGGTGCTACATAAATACAAGCTGTTAGGGCTTTCACGATCAAGGTGGCCCCGAGCAGTTCCCAAGTGCATTCTGGTTGAACAAGCACTGAGACCCCACCAGGTGCTGTCAGCATCTGTCCTATGGATGGGAGAGTCGCTCCCGAAGACGCCTGGCTTGTCTCCGGTAGAGGTGGTGACCTGGGCATGCAGGCAAGTGAGGGGGTTGGTGGGAGTCACCCAGGGCGGGAGGGGCGAAAAGACTCTCCTCCAGCTCCCGGGCTGAAGGTGCAGAAGCCCATTCGTCCCTCCGTGGGCACACGGCTGGTCTCTGGTGGGAACTGCTGGGACTAACCTAGTTGGGGCACCTGGTCCCCAGCCCCAGCACTGGCCCACTCACAGGAGCATGGGAACGCAGGAGGAATCACAGTCACGTTTATTGCTCTGGGTTAAACCAGGGAAGACAAGACCGGAGGAGGGGGACACAGGAAGCCGGTGAACATTCCTTCCCTTCTGGAGTCCTTGGCACCCTGGGAAGCTGACCAGTGCACTCCAGATCTGCTGATCACCTGCTCATGGGCTAGGCCCCCAGTGCCATTTGAGGGGCATGCCACCCGAGGCTGCGGGGAGCACGGCTCCTTCTCGCGGTGCCGCCTGTGGAGGCTGTGGCGATGGCCTCCAGTGGGCTGGTGTCCTTAGGAAGCTGTCTTGGCAGAGGAGGAAGAGGCTGCCTCCTCGGCGGGAACCTTCACCAGCGCCAGCTTCTTGGGCAGGCTGCTGCTGGCTTTCATTACCACGTCGTGTTCAATCTTCTTCCGGATCCCGACCTCCAGGTCCTGAGCGGGGGCAACCACAGGGCAATGAGACTGGGACCTGAGGTGGAGGGAGGGGGGTGCCTGACCCGCTGCCCTCTCTCTGGCGAGAGCGCACAGAAGGCTGGATGAGCAACTCCCCCTGAAACAGCACCTGAGGGTCTGGAGTTTAAGTCTTGTCCTGCACTCTTTGAGGTGTTACACACAAAAAATCCCTTTCTCATCTCTGGACCTCAGCTTCTACACCTCTACTCATCTCCATTTTACAGATGAAGAAACAGGTTCCTGCAGTGAGGAGGCACTTGCCCAGGCTTCCCCAAACAGGTGAAGGATGGGAGACTGGAACCCTGCACACCCAGAGCGTTTGATCTCAGCTTCCAGGCAGCAGTCCCCTCCTGGCCCATGTCATTTCCGCCTGGCAGATGGTGGAACTGGAGCTCCGAGACACAGAGATGTGAGCAAGCAAAGGCACAGGGGTTTGGGTCCAAAACTGGTAGTTTAATCATATTTCCCAAACTGCCCTGTCCTGCCTGAGTTCCAAGGACCATGACCACCATGACTGTCACATACCTAGGTGCAGGGGACACAACAGCAAACAAGACACAGAAAAACCTCTGCCCTCTGAGAGCTGGCACTCAGCCATACCCGTGTGTATGGAGACGACATACACGCCCATGACCCACTAGGTTAAAGTGAAGGTAAGTGCTGCTATCCAAGAAAGAACATGAGACGAGTGAGGGATGCGTGTTATCGGGGACAGCTGCTCAGGAGCACCACCTGCAGTCAGACTATACTCTGAGAAAGGGAGCCGTGTGGATTTCTGGGAGAAGAATCTGGGCAGAGGAAACAGCCAGTGAAGTGCTGAGGTGGGGTAAGAACAGTTAAGGGGCCAGTGAGCAAGGGGGAGAGTGGCAGGAGATCAGGGAGGATGTCCCTGCACTGGTCCAGGGGGTAGCTGATGGGATGGGACCAGGCAGGGGGGAAATGGGTGGATTCTAGATTAATACTAAAAGCAAAAAAGATGGGACTTGACCCAGATATGAGAGAAGGGGGGAATCCAAGATGATCCCAAGTATCTGGAAGGACAGAGTCTTCCTGAATCAAGACTGTGGCAGGGTCATGTCTGGGAGGCTGAGGGGAGGATCAGAAGCTTGGTTTTAGATATGCTGAGTTTGAGATGCCCATGAGACAGCCTGCCTCCCGCTGCCAGATGGAGGTAGGCAGATCACTGGGTACCCAGGTCTCAAAAACCGAGGCTCTGAGGAAACGAAACGATTTGCTCAAGATTACGCATTAGTTAGTGTGGAGTACAATTTGAACTCAAATCTGACTCCAGTAAAACCAGTTTCAAATCTCTTTAAACTTCTCTGTAAACTCAGCCCTACCCACCTATATAAAGAAGCTACATTTAAACACAACCACAAAAATGACAACCAACGCAGCTAACGTTCACTTGTGTCCTGTGCTGTTCTCAGCGCTTTACAAGTGCCCCATGGCATTAAATCCTCACAACCCTGGGAGAAAGGTGCTATTACTATGACCATTTTACAGGTTAAAAGACTCAGGGTGAAGAAATACTAGCTGTTGGGAGCTGCGACCGCACGCAGCACTGCCTTTCTGCAAAGCTGGGGTTTCTACTTTGCCACGCCACCTCCCCTCCCCACTTCTATTAAAGAACGGTAACAGCGAGAGCAGCTAACGTGCGTTTAACACTTTCTGCGCGTCAGGCCTTGCTCCTTCGAGGCCCGCGGAGTGTGGTATGTGATGTTCCGCTACCCATGGCACAGGGGTCGAAACGGAGACTCAAGAGATCTGCGTTGTCCAGGCTCCCCCACCGGGTCCAGGCACCATCCTCCGCCCCTCACGGGCCTCCAGGCTCCTTCCCTCGCTGCTCGCACGCCCCCACTCACCTTCTTGAGCTTTCGCTGCTGCACGATGCGCGACTTCTTGGGGGCGATCACACGACCTGGGAAGAGACGCGCTAACATGAGGCCGGGGAGCTCCAGGCCCTCCTCGCCCCCCAGACCCCTGACAGCTCCTCACCACCCTTCCTCGGGCCCCGGTTCCGCTCTGAGGCCGCTGCCGCCGCTTTGCTCTTCCCCGGCTTCCGTGCCTGGAACTTGCGCTGCCCCTGCGCCATGATCTGGCATGCGCCGGAAAAGGCGGGGTTGTAAGCAATTGCAGCCGGAAGGCGCAGGGCGCGACGGGATACAGTGGGGGGCCGCAGGGCGCAAAGACTCACGGGACACAACGTGGCAAAGCATTAAAGAGACAGGCGCCCATAAAGGCAGATCTTACGCAAACCTTCGCAAAAACTTCCAAGTAAAGGTTGTATGGTAAGATAACATTTACTGAGGGCTCGTTTGTTTTGTAAAACTTAGTTTTATGCCCTTTGTACATAAAATTTAGTCTAGGGTGAGGTGACTGAGGCACTCAGTGGTGCACACTTTAAGGGTGTCTAAAATTCAGTATCAATATAAATAGTATCCTCAACATTTAAAAATAAAATTTTAGGGCGCCTGGGTGGCTCAGTTGGTTAAGCAACCGACTTCGGCTCCGGTGGTGATCCCGGAGTCCTGGGATCGAGTCCCGCATTGGGCTCCCTGCTCGGCAGGGAGTCTGCTCCTCCCTCTGACCCTCTCCCCGTCATGTTCTCACTCCCTCAAATAAATAAAATCTTTAAAAAAAAAAAAAAAAGAAGGGGGCGCCTGGGTGGCTCAGTTCGTTGGGCGGCTGCCTTCCGCTCGGGTCATGATCCCGGAGTCCCGGCATCGAGTCCCGCATCAGGCTCCCTGCTCAGTGGGGAGTCTGCTTCTCCCTCTGACCCTACCCCCTCTTGTGCTCTCTTTCACTCTCTCTCTCTCCCTCAAATAAATAAAATCTTTAAAAAAAAAAAAAAGAATTTTAGGGGTGCCTGCCTGCCTCAGTCAGTGGAGCATGTGACTCTTGATCTTGGGGTTGTGAGTTTGAGCCACATTTTTGGGTGTAGAGATTACTTAAAAAAATTGGAGGTGCCTGGGTGGCTCAGTTGGTTAAGTGTCCGACTCCTGATTTCAGCTCAGGTCATGATCTCAGGGTCATGGGACTGAGGCCCGTGTTGGGCTCCATGCTGAGCATGGATTCTGCTTGGGATTCTCTCTCTCTCTCTCTGCTCCGACCCCCAACTTGCGCTCTCATTTTCTTTCTCTAGAAAAAATAAAAAATAATTCATGAAGCTATTATTTATTTATCTTGATTACTGAGCCTTTTGGTGTCCCCTCTAAAATTCTGTACCCCAGGCCCTGCCCTAGTTCTAGCCCTGAAGCAACCTAAGAGGGCAGTGCTATATTGTCCCCATTTTATTTTATTTTATTTTATTTTTAAGATTTTTTTTTATTCATGAGAGACAGAGCGAGAGAGAAAGGCAGAGGGAGAAGCAGGCTCCCAAGGAGCAGGGAGCCTGATGCGGGACTCGATCCCAGGACCCTGAGATCATGACCTGAGCCGAAGGCAGACGCTTAACCATCTGAGCCACCCAGGCGCCCGTTTTGTCCCCATTTTATAAATGAGAACACCAAAGCATGGAAAGGCGAAGTGACTTGGCCAAGACCACACTGTAGAGAAAGGGGCTGAGCTGGGTTTTGAACTTGGAAAGACTGGCTCCAGTTATAGGGCTCTTAAGAGCCATGCAAAGGCCCTGTGTGCTCTCCCTACTCTAGGAAGAAGGGTGGTTGGGGGAAGAAGGTCAGTTTGGGGGCAAGCCATTCATTAAGTTTATTATAAAACCTAAGGGAATGGGGGCAGACTATGGAGAGTCAGGCTGGTTACTTCTGGGGTCCATCTAGGGTCCCTACCCTCAGGAGACGGTGGTGTTTAGGGCTGCCCGGAGCTCCTCAGGGGCAAAGACCCCCAGCTCTGTGATGATACCGCCAGTGATGAGCTCGTGGGGGGTGACATCAAAGGCAGGATTCCAAACCCCAATGCCTGCAGGAGAGAAAGAGGAGGCAAGAAGGCAGGTATTTGGCTCTGAAAGTTCTCAAGCCCTTGTCACCTGTCTCCCCCATGGTGGTTCATGAGTTGGGGAATCCTTGACAATCTGGGGATGCTCACTCTGTAAGTGCATGAAGGCATTACATGGGGCTTTAGCACCCAGTAACTAGTTTAGACCCCCACCCCCCCCATTCCTGGGCTGTCATTGTCCAAGAAGGCTTAGAAGTCTTACAGACATCTACCCCACTTTTGCCGGCTCCAAGGGTCTCTGTAAGAAGCTCTAAGAACCCACCTCAGAGCCTTTGCACGGGCAGTCCCCTCTGCCTCCAGTAGTCACATGACTCACTGTTTCATTTCCTTCAGGTCTTTGCTCAAATGTCACCTTCCCGGCGAGGATTTCTCCAATCACTGTGTCTAAATCTCCCCGCACCGACACTTCCCATGCCTGTCCTTGCCTTGTTTATTTCTCCTGCGCTCGCACCCGCTTCTAAACATACACTGTGGTTTTGTTATTTATCTTGTTTGTTGTCTATCTCTCCCACTGGATTGTCAGCTCCGCGAGTGCAGGGGCGTTTACATCTTTTTCACTCCTGTGTCCCCTGTGCACCCTAGCACAGTACCGAGAATCGGCCCGGTACTCAAAAATATTTGCTGAGAGTTAACAACCTTTTACACGAGAGGCTGCAAACTGGTGGCCTTAGTTTTCTCTACTCAGTGATTTTGGCCAGTGCTCATTATGCCTCCAGGAAAGCAGGGGCACCAAAAACAAAATGAAGGAAAAAAATTTAGAGAATTAATATATCTATTTTTAAAACGCTGTAAGGAATTGGAGCACAAAACAACAGAATGTTGGGACTTCCCTCTGCTTAGCTGTATAGTGTGATTTTTACCTTAGCTCCATACTTGGCCTGTGGGGTAGCAGCCCCACAGTATTTTCGGCACTTAGGGATCTTAACTGGTCCTTTTCATAAAAGATTTCAACCATAATTGTTACCATCTAATGAGCGCTAAGCAAGGGTCAGGCACTGTCCTCCACGTCATGTGGGTGAATTCACTGACAACCCTGGGGTTTGTGAGCTGGGCCGTAGTAAGCGCTCATCTTACAGATGTGAACACTGGGGCCCTGGGGGATGAGAGAATGCAGATATCTTGCGCATGGCAGCCAGGCGGCGTGGGGAAGCCGAGAACATCAGTGTCTCTCCTAGGCACTAGGCGAGGCAGTATTCTCATTTCTTCTTCAAGGGAGGAAACCCAGGTGGAGAATAGCAGGACAACTTGCCCTAAGTCTCCTAACTCATTAGTTGTACACTCTGACCTTGAATCTGACCTTCAAGGTGCTTCTGTTCCAAGAAATGGCTGGAAAGAGCTGCTTATGCCCCAGACGGCTGATTCTACCCGAAATCCACCGGCCCCCGTGAAAGGGCCATGGTGCCTAAAGGGGGGTGCCCAGGCGCTGTGGTGATCCCTCTAAGGGGACAGCTTACCGGGGGCTGCAATCCTGATCCCCTTGACATCGGTCAGTTCCTGCCCTGGGCGCTCCTCGATGACGATCTCCCTGCCCGTCTCCAGACGGAGGTCACACGAGGAGCTGGGTGCAGCCACGTAGAAGGGGATGCCGTGGTGCTTGGCGGCGATGGCCAGCTGATAGGTGCCCACCTTGTTGGCCGTGTCACCGTTGGCAACCACGCGGTCGGCTCCCACGACAACAGCTGGGGAGCAAGATGCTGGGGTCATAACCTGGCCCTGGACGCCCAGAGCTCCGGCCCCTGGCGCCGCTCCCGCACACCTGACACGCCCCGGTGGGCCATGGCAGCTGCCGCCATGCTGTCCGCGATGAGGGTGGCGGGGATCTGCTCGTACACCAGCTCGAAGGCGGTCAGCCGGGCTCCCTGGTTGTAGGGTCGGGTCTCCGTGCAGAAGGCATGATCCAGACGGCCCAGGGTGTGCAGTGAGCGGATCACACCTGTGGGGCCCGGCCACCAGGATGTCAGGATGAGACGGAAAGCGACACACAGGCAGGGTGGCTCGTTGTTGAGAAGCACAGCTCAGGGGTGCCTGGGCGGCTCAGTTGGTTGAGTGTCTGTCCCTTGATTTCGGCTCAGGTTGTGATCTCAGGGTTGTGGGGTCGAGCCCTGTGTCGGGCTCTGTGCTGGGCGTGGAGCCTGCTTGGGATTCTCTCTCCCTCTCCCCCACTGCTCTCTCTCTCTCAAACAAATAAAATATTAAAGATTTTTATTTATTTATTTATTTGACAGAGAGAGAGAGAGGGAACACAAGCA